GGGGTATGTAAGATTAAATCTTTTTTTTTAGAAAAAATGGTACTCCCTGAAGTATGTGAATCAAGATGGCGGAAACCAGGACGTAGTATGTGTACCAGGTTAGGGTTAGGCCATAATTTCAGGTACAAATACTACAGGAGTCACTTGGCTAGTCTCCGAACTCGTGATAGAACTAAAACAAGGAAAATTGGAATAAAAGTATGGCCTAACCTGGTACATATAGGCTACGCTACGTTCCGGCGCCTGCCATCTTCCTTCACATACTTCGGGAGCGTCGAAAAAATTATATATTTTTATTCCTTGAAAAGTGTCAGGGTTCTGAAAGTACTTTAGTTTGCCAATGGATGCTCATTTTAAGTGGACATTTACATGGTGATAAGATTTAATTAACCCTCCCAGGTATAGATTATAGATTCATATCGGCCTGGCCTGACTGAACCCCACCCCCCAAAGTACACCATTTCACAACAAAAATGAGATTCAAGACAAGACATAGGCAAATATATCGGCAAGGGTGTATGCCAGGATTTTTACAGAGGGGCTTCTGAAATTTGTAATTGCCAAGTTAGACCGTGACAGCTAGCGGTCTAAAAAGCGTTTCAAACTACGAAAATTATCATGCATGATACAGAAATATATTTTTATTTTGGCATTTTAATATGAGGGGTCCGACCCTTAGTTTGCAACCATCTCCTTTCCCCTCAGCTACGCCAATCTACACTGGTATTTCCTTAACTTTGATGATTTGTTGGGGGGGGGGGGGGGGGGGGAGGTGTTGTGGGTACCGATTCTCAACTCCCAGGCTATGCCTCAAACTTTCATAATCAGTCCTCAAACTTGCAGCTTCCTCATCTATAGATATTCAGTTTGGCTTTTAATATATTTCCACCAGTCTTTTAATGTACTACTTTGAAGGAAAAGAAGCCAATAAATGAAAGCAAAAAAATTTGTCAATGAATTGAATAAATCACAGGTTGAGTGCACTTTAAAGCAAATAATTCTTAACAATTTCTTTGCAGGCAAATACCTGATCGCTTTGCTTGTTTTACATTTCACACTTCCGCGCAAACAACGCCAAATGAAATGGTTGATAGCTGGAGGCCTGGCACAAGTTTCAGAATTTGCATTTGTCCTCGGGAGCCGAGCTAGGCACTTGAAGATTGTAACTAGGGAGGTCAGTGTTATTTCTTATCGATTTTAATCGGTAAGTATGTTGATAGGTATTTGACTGTTTGTTTGTTTGTCTGTTAGATGCACGCGATATCTCACGAAAGCGAGATTGAATCTGCTCCAGATTTTGCATGTGCATTCATCATATGTCGGACCAGAAGCCTATTGATTTTGGATGAATTATGTCTTTTAATTAGCGAGTTATTGATCAGTTAGTGATGGGACACAAGGTGTCACTATGGAGTAAGAGCGCTGTTTTGGGGGATCCCTTAACTTTCAATCGATAAGTCTTCGGTCTCTGATCGATATTCTCGTTTTTATATTGGTGGGACCATTATCGTACCCCCACTTCAGGAACATTCTTGAACCCTAAAATGGGGTATTTTAGTCTGGTGCTCCAGCCTCAGTGTTGACATTGAAGTTTACACATCTCAGCTCGACTCCTTTGCCCACCACCTACCCCACCCAGTATTTAATAAATTAGGGCAAGTTGGAGGTAGAAAAATTTTAGTCATTCCACAAATATTAGATTTCTTGAATTCATAATATCATATCCTCTAAGATATCAGGGGTGCTGTTACACGGCCTTGCTCATAGCGGCAAAGCATTGTATAATAAAACTATCGCAGCCTGTGAGCCAATCACAGTTACAATTTACGGCCCCTGTAACAATTTAATATGGCCCGCCGAACTGGAGTGAAATAGTTTAACTTACTCTTTCATGTTTTAGATACCGCCAACGTTATTATCGCGGTTTTAGCATGTGTGTATATTTGTAACAATTCAGTTCGTAGCTCAATTATATGTACCGGTATCGGTCCCTTGTGGGCGCTGCGCTCTCCCAGCCATGAATATCTTTCCGCTTCTAATTTTTGCCCCTGATCAATCAACTTTGGGAATCACTGTTCTCTCTAAGACAGGGCTACTCAACTGGCGGACCGCGGTTCGAATCCGGACCTTTCGAGCATTGGATTTGGACCGCACCTAATTATTTATTTTGGATCATTAGCCCCACTTTTTGAATTTCCTATTATAAAATGCGAATATATACGAAAAGAACTATAACACCATAATAAACAATTGTAATTTGCGACTAATCATTAGTCGGTCGAGGAAGTGCTCGTTTAAGGATGCTGAAATATCATTTCTGGAAAGACCGGACCCAATTAATTTTGAAGTTTTGTTTGCGGACCTTCGATAAAAATAGTTGAGTAGCCCTGCTCTAAGATATGAGTGGGTTGTATATGACCATGCTTATTAGAGTGTAAGGCGCAAATACGAAAACGATAAATTTTACTTTTAGGTATTTCTTCTGATTCTGAGCACCACAACATTAAGTTTGATCTTCGCTCCTGTGATGTGGAAACTATCACAGCGGAAGTTTCAGAAAACGATGCATATTACATAGAGTTCTAAAAAATTTGCCGTCACCGCAGGAAATCTCGCTTCAGGAAATTTCTCAGCAAAGGGGAAATTGCCTTTATTTAAAAAAGATTCGTTATTTAATAAGAGCATACCCTAACCCTATAAGCCTAACTGTTTTTTATTACAAATACTTGTTCGACAACAAAATGCTAATGAGATTTTTCCTATATGACATGATTTCGTCCGGTGAGATTTCGTACGTAGATTCCCTACGGTGAAATTTCCTGCGGCACATATTCCGGACACGATGACATAGTGGATACTGGATCAACTGTTATGAGAATATCGCAATATCGTATTTTCATTGGTGAGATTCAGTCTGCACAACCCCAGTCAATAGTCTGTATTTTATTACTTATCGATTTTAATCGGTAAGTATGTTGATAGGTATTTGTCTGTCTGTTTGTCTGTTAGATGCACGCGATATCTCACGAAAGCGAGATTGAATCTGCTTCAGATTTTGCATGTGCATTCATCTTATCTCGGACCAAAAGCCTATTGATTTTGGGCGAATAATGTCGTATAATTAGCGAGTTATTAATTAATTAGTGATGGGACACAAGGTGTCACTATGGAGTGAGAGCGCTGTTTTGGGGGATCCCCTAACTTTCGATCGATAAGTCTTCGGTCTCTGACTGATATTCTCGTTTTTACACTTGCTTAAAATACACATTGTACGTACAAAATGTGGAAAGATAAGAAAATGCATTTCCCTGTTCTAGAAGTATCGTTATAATCATCTAACAGGTTCTTGTTCAAGACATTGGACCAGGGTTTCAAAACTTTGGGCCGCGGACTCCTGTTTGTGAATCTTAGATCTGAGGGACCTCTCTCTCATGCCTTTTCATACTCTGTGCCCAACCTACTGTCGATAATATTCACTTTTCCTCTACCACAGAATAAATATGTGAAAAATCCGGTAATCTCGAAGTATGTGAACCAAGATGGCGGACCCCATAATGTAGTATGTGTACCAGGTTAGGCCATAATTTTATTCCAATTTTCCTTATTTTAGTTCTTTTAAAAGTTCAGGGATTAGCCAAGTGACTAGAGTAGTATGTAGCCTACATGAAATTATGGCCTAACTCTGACCTGGTACACATTTTACGTTCCGGTGTCCGCCATCTTGGTTCACATACTTCGAGAGTATCAAAAATCCTATCCTGCCTGATTTATCGTTTTCTTTTTGTTCCTACATCCCAACAGGGACTGGTAACTGGATGAGAGGCCTTGACAAACCATATGATTAGGATATTTTATTGACTTCCCTCTTTCCCAGGATAAATATGAAATACCTATCCCTGCCCATCTCTCGTGAACCCAAACTAATGTTTGTTTCATAACATAAATTCAAACGCTGTAATGACACACCATTTTCATATTTTTCATACTCTATTATGTAGCAAAATAGAAAGAAAAATTGTTAGATTTCTGCCGTGTATGTTATTCAAACTTTTTAGAGCTGCTTCTTATATTATGCCCTGCACACTGTATTGCTTTATATTTTCATATGCATTTGTAGTCGAAAATAATAAAGGTGGCTTATTTTGCCGTCACATGCAGTAAGTTCGGTTATATACATGAGTGATAAAAATGTCTGAGGACTTACTTTAAACACAACGGGGTAGTGTTTACTCGCCCCACCCCTGCTGTCACCATTCACACAACTGATGAAGGTTCCAGTTGTAAAAATAGTGGATCTTTACGTATAAATGACTGCCTGTACTGTCAGTTTTTTTCATCATAGAGCAAATTCAGCTTATTTTAATTTGCTTTGAAGGGGTCCATTTTGCGCAACCCATGCTACTGAGCTAAAGTGCGTTGTTTGCCGAATGGGTAGGGGGTTCTAGTTCTGATGAAAATAGTTGGTTATTACGTATAAAAATGGCAGCACTTGCTGTCAGTCTTCTATCTTAGAGCAACTTATATCTATTACACTGTATTGAGGGACCCGCTAGTGGGCGTCGGGAGTAGGTATGCTTGCGTTCCATTTTACAAATACGGGGCCTGACAGCACCTGAGCAAAAGTGCGATGTTTGGGATTTGCCGGACGACGGGTAAGGCGTTCTAGTTCTGAATAAAGTTGGGTTTTACGTATGAATGGCTGTTCGTTGTCCTTCTATCTTAGAGCAAACTAACCTATTTTAATTTGGACATATCGAAGTCAATGTTTTTCTTAACCAAGCGCCGCAATCAAAATTTTGGGCGATCCAGAAGTGTGTGTACCAATTTGTGTACCATTTAAAATGGTTTTGGGGTATTTCCTCTTTTTGTTGAAAGTTGAGTTTGATATAAGTTTGATATCCACCAATCTTGGTTAGATATTGTTGATATTGATTATGATTATCAGTCATTATCATTGAAGTGGCATTACCAGTCTTTGGCTTTTCGTAACTGTGAAATTATGGTTCAATCTCGCATAAATATTTATATTGGTGGGTACAGATGTTATCGTTCAGCTCCCAATTAGAGCGACGCACCACTTCGACACAATCTTCATTACCGTCGAAGTTATTTGGTTCACCCTCATGCCATGGAGTAGAACCTGCAGTTGCCGTTACACCATCCTCCCAGATAAACGTATTTTCTTCTTGAATGTCGTTCAAACCAATCCAAGTTTTGTATCCTCCAGATTTGACCAAGGGTAAGATTTCTCTACAAAAAATAACTTATTTTGCAATCACACCATTCATGACAGTTCAAAGGTTAGTTAAGCATTCTTAGAGTTGAGACTTAGGAATGGCCAACACCGAATTACTTTTTGCTTAATAATTAAGTACCTATAATTTCATTGGTCAACTTCCGACCATTAGTTATAAGTATAAAGGCTCCAAGATATTTTTCAAATGATATAATACAGGCCCAATTGGCGCTACGGCATAACGTTAAAGACTATGGCATTTGGGAATCTGAAAAAACGAGTCTGAATCGTTATATGAAAACTAAGCAACACTTGTTTAGATTATTCTACGATTATATTGGATTTCGGTCATGAGGCCCTTATTGATCCCAACAACCCAAATCACCTGCGAATATTTTCATCTCGAATTCCCGCCGATGCCAGATTGCCTCCGTATCTCTTACAATTTGCCTTTGCCTCTGCGTAAGTGACCAGATCGTGAAATAGTTTGTAGTAATAGTAATTCCGCGCTTGATACCATGTGCTAATCTGTTCTATTCTTGTCACTTTTGTCGTAATACTTACCAGTTGCTCTCGGATTTGCTGCATCACTACAAAGTGGATTTAGATTTATTTATTATCATGTCTTAGTTATTCAAAAATGCGATAACCTCAATAACTTTATATGAATACAAAAATCTTATTTATTTATGTTACTAAGTAAGATTTTTTTTCATTCGTCTTTATTTGACAAAATTTACCTTACTTTCTAGACTTCAACAGATGTTTCGATTCCATTCAGTTTTGAGTGTGCCCGCATAATAGAAAATGGAAAAATCACAGTATTTGAAAAGTATTAAAAAGCTGAAAAACTTTGTGAGACAAAAATAATTTGTAACGGGCGACAAGAAAGCTTTTATCGTGGATGAAAGATCCCAACCCCGTATGCTCAGTTTAACTAAACACTGATCGTCCTATTGGACACGAAATGCACATATGCATCGTTTTATTATTATGTTTTTCTTCACGTTCATTTCTTGTTATTATTTTTCTCGTTTAAAAAATCGCTTATCTCATTCACTCCTGGACCAACTGCTTTCAAGTTTTCACTGGTTGAGGATCGTATTTTTTGCTAGAGGGGTATTACTTTCATTTATTCAAAAAATTTCTGCTGACTATATAGGACTATTAGTTGGGGCTACGAAACCGTACAGAAAAAGGGTTAGTGTACAGAAAGACTCTTGCATCAAAGACTATGTAGGATTCGTTGTTTGTGTAATATGACGTCATCAAAAATTGCGCACCTCGAGGCGGTTCAGCGATCGCGTTAGTCGTGAACACTGCCGGTAGTCTACTGTTACATATTGCTTATACGTACTACTTCGTTTTGACCGTGTCCAGATATTTGGGCATGCAATTAAGCATTTAAACTATTTACCTGCTTTCAAATCCTCTACGTCCTCGCTACATTTCTCAACAACAGGACCAATTTGAGTCAGCTTTGCTTGTATCTGTACGGAAATATCTGAACAAGAATTTATCCGACTTGAAATACCATTATTTTAAAATATTCACGGAACTACACCATTCACAAAAATGTCTGCATATGTAGGACACTGGTAAAAATAGAAAAATTCAAAATAAACGTGCCGATTTTTAATTTAGTAAATATGTAACCTTAAAAATATTATCAAAATGATCTGCCTGAGTGATGTTTTGAATGTTAGCAGTAATTTATGTGTCTGGAGGACCTAATACAATAAGAAAGTTACATACAATTATATATCTCCCAAGTATTCGAGATTCGATTCGAAAATAATATTTGATTTGATTCTAAAATCATCAGGTATTCGAAAATGCCCAGCCCTACTTAGAGAACATACAAAAAATAATAGTAAATATTTTCACAAACGACCCCATGAATCCCAATAGTGATATGAAAAATAAAATGCAATTCATATGCTCAATTCATAAGCACATACCATTGAAGTGTTCTTTTATAGTTTCATTTACGATTTTGTAATTTACGACACCAGGGGGCCCCACGGGCCCAGCTTTTCCTTGTTTAATTTCGTGACCGGTTCTGACGGAATGCTGGCCTCGGTTGGTGCAATACAGATGCATTTCCTGATCCTAAAAAAATGTAGATTATCAATAAAATGTGAAAACGTGGAGCGCAACACAACAATTATAAGTGGAGTATGGTACATTATCTTATCTTGTGGTCAACTCTTGTCCCAGGAGCGTAGCCAGGGGGTGGTTTTGGGAGTCGAAACCCTCCCCCTCTTTTTGGAATGTAAAAAAAAATAAAAGCATCTTTCTGTATAGCAATTACATAAGCAAGTACATAGCAATTTTTCGTATCTTCGAACGCTTTTTAGACTCTCAAGTCTGTTGAATACACACGCTTCCCGGCTTCCGGTCGGACCTACTAGAATTAGCTGTTTCGATCTAATATTGCAAATAGAAGTTTTAGACCCCCCTCCCCGTAAAAAAATTATGCCATCCCACTGTCTTGTTCCAACATTGGTGGGGGGATAAATTATGATAAATATTGACGGCAATGATGCTATTTTTGTCCTTAATGGTTTCTCCAGTGGACCAGTCCACCTCACTACCAGTCTGTGGGAATTCGAGGCGCACCTGTTGTATGTCAACCAAGATGGCGGACACCTGAACATAGTACCTGTACCAGGTTAAGGTTAGGCCATAATTTTATTCCAACTTACTGTATTTTGGTTCTATTGCGAGTTCGGAGACTGTTTGTGTTAGCCAAGTAATATACTCCCTGCCCATAGGCTTCAGTGCTTTTACACAGTTTGATGTAAAGAAGGCGAAAAGAATAGTTACCTCCACATTGGTACGCACACTTCTGGAGCGACGATTATTTTTATCAATTAGTTTTTCATGCGTTATGCTTATCATGCAGTCGAAATAAGCTTTTACTTATTAACCAATAAGAATGAAACGAGAATATCGGTCAGAGACCGAAGACTTATCGATCGAAAGTTAGAGGGTCCCCCAAAACAGCGCTTTTACTCCATAGTGACATCTTGTGTCCCATCACTAATTAATTAATAACTCGCTAATTATACGACATAATTCATTCAAAATCAATAGGCTTCTGGTACGACATATAATGAATGGACATGCAAAATCTTGAGCAGATTCAATCTCGCTTTCGCGTGCATCTAACAGACAAACAGACAAATACCTATCAACATACTTACCGATTAAAATCGATAAGTGATAATCTCTAACTTCTCACTGCAAATATGGTCATGCTATTTCTATTTATCTGTATAAAACTATCGATCTACAAAACTATGTACCTCCATAATGATACACATAGACAAAAATGCGCTCCCATTTTGGTTATACACGGCGCCTCACACAATTTAAAATCGGACCAGGGCAAGCAGCCACGAATAACTGGGTGAGGTGGCAAATTTGAGAACGAGATGTGTAACCTACGGTGTCAACAAAGTTCATCCTGACCCTTCAGCGCTAGACCTTGGCGCCCGCAGCAAAGTTAGACATAAATCAGAAGTTGTGTTTTGTTTCGATTCAGTTTAGTTGCACTCATCGGAAAACAATTTTAAAATCATGATTGGACTTCGCTAAAATAACTACAACAGTGTATTTGTGAATAGATTGAAACAAAATGGCGGCAAAGATTGTTTTAGTTTCAAAGAAATACACCAATGCGCGAAGCGAACTTGCGGCAACATTTGAAATAAGCATCGCCAGGAAGATCTTAATGAAAGGATAGAAATTACGGAAAAATCAGCATGGGTAATATCGCATTAAAAATTATTTCTGGGGTGAAAGATCATGACAATTATTTTGGTTCTGTTAGAGGAAACTCTGAAAAACAGCGTAGGAATTCTCGCGTTTAAATTTTCTCTGGGTACAGGAGAGGTGCTATATTTTAACGACGGAAATCTTTCCAGTTCGGCATTGCTTTACCAAATATTAAACACTGGGTGAGATAGTGAGCCAGTAGTTTGAGTGATGTAACCACTAAGCCAGGGGTTCTCAACACGCGGGCCTCATGCGGCCCTTCGATGCATATTTTACGGCCCGCAAAGATCTTTGATGAATCCAAACATATAACACAATATCTGGGGCGTAACGAATATAAATATATCATTCTTCTCATCCATGACAGCGCACGATAAGACTATGGATTGTGATATCGCAGCAAATAGATGAATTACGTATTGTTACGTAAAAATTGAGATACTTAGCACGCTCATCGCATTCTCTATCTACCTTCGGAAACGAATACAAGAAGCATATTAATGGACTAATAAATGAATTAAATAGTATGAATACATTACAATAATATTCTGTGGCCCGTCGCATCTTTTGTAGTTAAAATGCAGCCCGTTTACTTGGGAAGTTGAGTACCTCTACACTAAGCTATTGCGCATAAAAGTTGTTTGAATTTCAATATGTGCTTGACAGTGTTGGAACAAAAAGTAATCAATTCTAGATTCCTTATCAAGTGTTACTCAAAATAATATCCGAATTCATTCAATTGTATATTAATATTAAACCCAAGACATTTCTCATTATTGAGGTAAGTGTAGCTGTTATGACATCATATTATGCCTTTCACTGTTATGTAAAATATCATATGACGTCATAAATTGATTCTTAGATTGCGTAAAATACGAAATTATATTTGCAGAAAATATACGTCAACTAATCAACCTAGTAAATTAGATAGTAAGGTAAACTTGATAACACTTAAAGAACTCACGGATGTAATTAAACGCTATAACATCAGAAAATGTTGTTATGTCCATTTCTAGACTCGATTGATGTCACCGACAAATTCATTTATCATTTTATTTTTTAAATAAACTGGTTTACGATTCGGAATAGTAAAAAATAAATGGCTTAGATTCTACGTTTCTTAGATTACTTAGTATATAGCTATAATATATATATTTTTTTAAATAATAAAAGCATTATTATGGTCGAAACAATTTAAAAAAAAAAACTATAAGAAATATTATTTATTCGAAGAAGGACGTAGAGGCCCCTAAGGCCCAATGGTAAATCCGGCCCTATATAGTGTGATATATGGCGGCAATAAACCGAATCTAGAAACTCCGGCCCGTAAAATATTAAAATGGCGGCTTCCTACAAATCAGTTACATCTTATTGGGAGTAATGGAGAGGAAACATCATAGAACTAATTTTTGATTTTCAAAAAGTCATGCCCGAGTCTATTTGACATGTAATATGCAAAGCATCGTTCGAGTCAAGGACAAGTCCCTATTACTCGCTTAAATTAGGAGAATGAGAACGAAAATGAACCTTGTTTCTGCTTATTCGCTAGTAAAAGGAAATGCAACGTTCAATTAAGTTTGGAGTAAGGCTTAAGTAATTGTGCCATTGCGTGGAAAGCTTATAATAGAACAGGGTGGTCCACGGTTATCGGCTTCGGGTGCCACAAAATTCTTTTTGCATTGTTTGCGGGCTACAATAGTGCCAAGAATAGTTAAACAGAGCAACACAAAACGAACACTTATTTGTGCAAATACATTGATCAGTATTTTTCCATATATTTTAATTTTTTGATGTATGAACATGATCGGTGAATAACGTTACAACTACGCGGTTACAAAGACACTCTTGTGAAGGCGGGGACCCTAATAGATTTCCGTGCGTAATCAGCCATTGCAAAACAAATGCCACCGTTTGTCTAAATCAGCGTGGTGCAAATCTTCACATGTGGCACGCTGTATCATAAATCTGTGGCCCGCGTCACATTTGCTGATATCGGTAACAATTGGTGAATATTTCAATAGCTTACATAAAAAAAAACTGCGCTTCAGTTATGAAAGCACTTTCTCCGTTTCAAAAAAAGTCTAAAATCTAATACAACGAACAGGTTGGGAGACAAAACATTAGATGCCAAAGACTTTTAACGAGCAACATAATTATTGATATAGAATTATTGATTTAATGATAAAATGTCTTGGAACTAATGTGGCCCACGAACAGTACAAAATTAATATTACGGCCCCCAAGATTGGACTGCCCTGATCTAAATTATTCACTAACCACGCAATAAATTGAAAAGCGTAATATCGTTGGTTCTGGCTTAAAACACTGGTTTGCCAGAACAGAAATTGAGTAAATATCGGTCAAATGATGGTGAAGAGTTGAATAAAAAATAAATGTGATTTTCTATAATGAGTGCTACGCCACTCACCTGCGAACTTTGTTCGGGAATTCGCTGTCCAAGTGATATTCCGAAGCATAGAATCATGAGTATCCAAGTAAAATACATGATTACCAAACCTAATATCAATACCTCGAAAGACTAGCAATTTCTGAATTAGTAATAAATTTTTAAAAATAAATCCTATCAAACATAAACTGGTAATCCCATAATATGTGCACCAAGATGGCGGACACCGGAAAGTAGTATGTGTACATGTTACGATTCGGCTATAATTTCAGGTAAAATTACTACAGCAGTCACTTGGCTACTCCCCGAACTCGTAATGGAACTAAAATAATAAAAATTGAAATAAAATTATGGCCTAACCTGGTACACATATTACGTTCCGGTGTCCGCCATCTTGGTGCACAAACTTCTGGAGCGCTCACCAACTTTATAACATTTATTCATTTAAATAAGGAATGCTAGTATTTTCAAATCCGTGTCCCCATGTAATTTGGAAGGCGGTGAGAATCAGCTACCGGAATCATCAGTTATCAAAACCGGTTAAACCTTTCTTGTGACTCCACGCACTTAGGTGATATTTCTATGCTAGCTATCTAATTTTTCATTCATGAAAATCCGCACTGTTAACATTTTTTGAACAACTTTAACAAATGTTACAACGTTACAAAAGCAGGTGTTCTGATGGTCATAGAGCGGGGATAGGAGACAATCTGAAGGTGCCAGGCACAAAGCTTTTGTCCAGTGTATCGGGTTGCTTGTATACCAAATTGGCTAAGCCACAGACTTTTCAATATTTAATACCTTTCTGAATATTGGCGAATACTTGTACAAAACTCTGGCACTCCAAAAGTATGTGAACCAAGATGGCGTACACCGGAACGTAGTATGTGTACCAGGTTAGAATTAGCACATAATTGTATTTCAGTTTTTCTTATTTCAGTTCTATTACGAGTTTGGATACTAGTCACGTGACTCAGGTAGTATTTATGCCTTAAATTATGGCCTAATTCTAACCAGGTACACATACTATGTACACATACTATGTTCCTGTGTCCGCCATCTTGGTTTACATGCTTCTGAGTTACAAAACTTTTTAATAAGCCAACACACTACATTCTTTCTAGGATCTAGTATATAGACTGCGCAATCAATAATAAACCCCACTTTTATACCCGAATATCTTACTTTTTCGTTTTCTCCTAATTATATCGTAAAGGGTTCCCAATGTTTTTCTGTTACCCCAGTTCTCTAACATCTCACTTCGTGCTTTGTCAAAAGCGAACAAAACAACCCTGATTAAAAACCCGTTTAATTTAAACCTTCGCACGCGAAAATGCTGCAAAAAAATAGAGCAAGTTGACAAATATTTTATTGTAATTTCGTAATTTAGCAAATTCGATATTTCCATGTAAAACAGAAGATTCCAATAAAAAATCAGCTGTTATTCAAAACAACGAGTTCCTCAAGGGTTAGTGTCAAGATAGCAATATCGTAAACTAACTAACGATGCCTGCGTGCCGACGCGCTAGTCTCTGGGCTTTTTAAATATACATGAGCCACATTTTAACGATTGCCTGCAAAAAATCATTGTTTCCAATAATAAAACCATCCATAGACAACTATCAATCTTTAACTAACCTTCGAGAATCTAGAACAGGGGTGGGCAATTACTTTCCTGAGTGGGCCAGTTCTTGATAATCGACTTGATTACTAGGCCGAAGGCTCCAAACCTAATATGAAACTACGAAAAAAATAGCTCATATACAACTTAATAAGAAGAAGCACAATGTAACAAATAAGGCCAATGTGACGGTAAATTCATCGATATTTCAACGGAAATTTGTATTCACTAAAACTATAGTCGTAATTTTAGCAGACACAAGTGGGCTCGAATGAAACACTTCAATGGCAACACTTCGCAATCTAAGATGAAATTCAAAATAGAATTTATTTATATTTTTTACTCAAATGATATTAATTTTTTTTGTCATTTACTGATTACATTTTGAAAGATATGAAAGGCTTTTATTGTTACCCCCGCTCTCTCAGGTTGACTTCGTACACATAAGTAAACAAAAACAACAATGTACAAAAACTCGTTGCAAAAAAACTTTCTGATCGCACGCGAGAATGCTGCCGAAAATTACAGCAAATTAAAGAATATTTTATAGTATGACATCATATGATATGACACTCTCAGACCTATCATGGGCCATTGAATGGAAGATTGTGATAAATAGATAGATCTGTAAACCAATACGACCCAGATGATGCGCTTTCTTTTGTTTTATATTTGAGACATCTCAGCCCTCGGACCAGGTGTTTTTGCCTCCACATGCTCACAACAATGTGTAACGCGATAGAAAACTAGGGTCAATCGCGTGATTGAATTATAGTTCGTTAATGAAATATAATATTTCGTTATTATATTACTATTATGTCGTCAATGTTAATCAATTTTCGAAAATTGCTCTAAGTGAACTTTAAGATTTCCAACGCAAACAAAACAACATTATCCTTGATTTTCAACATGTACATATGGCGCATGGATTCGAACCAGCGATGTAAAACCGCCGATGCCAATACAACTAAGTCTTACGTTTTTTTTAACGCCAAAAATCAGAGTGGTCCAGGGTTGTCTGTTCCGGGGGCAACAAAATTACTTTTGCATTTTTCGCGGGTCACAATAGTGCCAAGAATATATAAATAGTGCAATACAAAACAAACACTTTTATTGTGCAAACACATCGATCATTATTTGTCATTTATTAAGCTAAAACGGGCAACAACCACCAAAAAACCTGCAAAAAGATTTCTATATCTACATTTAGTGTAAGATTTCAAACTCTTCTCAACGGAAAAAGTGCTTCCACAAATGTGAGTGCCTTCAAACATCGATAAGATTTTCAAATCAAAATCTTACCTTTGGAAAATGCTCATTGCTCCCAAGATTCTAAAATGGAGTTTTAAATTGAATACCCCAGGTCAGGGGTGGGCAACCCCTGTCACGCGAGCTCATCTATTCGGCACGCGAGCGAAGCTTCGGAAACGAGATCATTCTCCTTCAGATAAAAAGTTTTACAAGAATTGTCTGATGAAACTCGGGGTTTGTTTATTCATTATCGTTTGTTAACAATCCTTTTGTTTAACCCGTTTTGTTCTTTTATGACATTTTGCTACAAACAAATATATTATGACGTAACAAATGAGTGAGCTCTCGGGAAATTTTGTTGTCATTTATCAAGCTAAAACATCAAAAACCACCAAAAAACTCATGTAAACGTGCAAAAATCTTACTAAATCTACACTTTGTGTAAGATTCTAAATTATTCATAGCGGAGAAAGTGTCATAGAGAGAAATTGCCATTTCAGACTGTCACTGACACAACTTGCAGAGATATCGAGCAAGCGTATTTTTCCTCCCATTATCCAGTCAGAAATCTGTTTGAATTGGTCAGCTTTCTTTTCAAACCCATGTTTACAGAATAACTTACAAATAACTGCAAATTGATTGATTGCCGAAATTTATCAAGTTTAGGAGGGTAATTACAAAATTTTCTTACGTATAGGCAGCATTTTATTTAGTTATCAGGCATTTGCGACCTAGGCTAATAGATTCCGCATACGATTTTTAGTTTTTTATGGAGCCTATTTTGTTAGCAGATATTCCCGACCAAAAAGATAAAAAGTTAATAAACAATTTAGACTAGCCAAGCACATTATTCAACTTCGCCAGTTGCCTTAGCCAACCAGGACATTAATCTATTCAGTGACACTAGTGATGTAATAATAAGCCAAAAGATTTTTCTGGTTATTTTTATGGCAAAACAACATCAAATGCGATTTTTTGTTTAAATTCCCGCAAATGCGACGCGGGCCACAGATAATGAAGCGGCGGGCGACCCCCATTGTTCATATTTGATACCCGGATTGAAAATTCTACGGAATGTTTTATTATATTATATGTAAATTCTTGCATGTAAAGAAATAATTCACATCTCAGTTGATGGCACACACTGCATTGATATTAACAGTGCCCAATTTGTGAAATTTGTTTAAACTGATAGCATTACTAATTAATGATACAAAGATTATTGACAGGATTCAAACTATATCCCAGGCGTCGGGAACCTTTTGACAAAGAAAGCCATAAAAGGTACATATTTTCGGTTTCATTACATTTGAACCCACGACAATTGTATCTACATTCTATTGCACCTATGGATTTTTTTTGGGTTTTACGGATATTTGAACCCATACTAACCCTAACCCATGGGCTTTAGCACCCAGATATAAATTGAAACCGCGGATATACACATGAGTTCAAATGAACGGTCACCCATATTTTCAATTGCATTTCCGTGCGAGCCATATAGCATTTTTTCCCCTCAATCATGTTTTAATTCAAAAGTCAACATTTGTTTCAAATCTGGCAACAATAGTAAGCTTAGCTTTGGATTATCAGATATTTCTGGAAGTCCTATGCCGCCACCAAAAGAGCCATATATGGCTCGCGAGCCGTCGGTTCCGGCCACAGCTGTAGCCTAAGAATCAAAACGATTTTTTCAATAATTTAAACGTACATGAGGGGCATGAACTCGTGTCATTTCATTTTACACGAAACTGAACTGAAATCTGTTTCCTGCTTGTTTGTGACTCAACAGTGTTCTTGGATGCCCTTTCAATAAAACAACATTACACTGTGTTCATAATCCACTGTATACCACCGTAGCTTTTCATTTTGAGAGTGTAACGGTATCCTTTAGCATTGCTGTGTAATTCATAAAATGTTTTCTGTTTTAATTATTCTACTTATAGGACTGAAGAGCGTCGTGACAGGTATATTGAAGTTTTGTACCCATCTGAATAACATCATTCAAGAGTTGACGTATTGGGAAGTCAAAATATAGAAATACAAGACTATTTGTGAAGCTCTTACGAACTATCAATGAATTGAATAGCGGTCGTGAATACAAATAGCATATGTGTTATTAATAATAATAATGTGTGTTGTTACCAGTCGGTTTTGATTTTCAAGCTGGTTCCTTTTAAAATTAGCAAACAAAAATTAAATCCATATATTGAATCCAATAAGTTATTTCAGTTTTCAAATCTGATGTAAAAATTCAAATGCGGCAGATTTATTTCTATAATTTTAACTTAGAATCTTGTCAAGCGAGTAGTCACGTTCCAGTAGAATGTCACCAAAAAGTACGATTGGACTATAACTTAATATTTATTAATTCAAACAGTTCGCGTTTTTTTTTTTGGCCAATTTTTAATTTGTCACATTTCAATTTATAATGAATAAAGGAGCAAAGTTAATTGCAATTCCTGGGTTATGTTTGTTTATTCGATGATGGTTCTTCTTCTAGTTCTTATCCTGCGATATAGAAGTACTGAAACGTTTCAGGCTCGCCTACCACGGATATATTAAAGCATGGGTTAGGCGATAGGTATGGATTGTTTGCCAGATTGATTAGAGTTTAAATCGTGAATATCTGAATTGCGATATCACCACAGTCGGACCATCTAATTCAAAGTTTGTTCGTTCAACTAACCAATAATTTATAAAATAAATATTTTATTACAGTTGATATTTCTGTGATCGTTCAATTCGGAGGAGCGTCAGACAGTTCATCATGTGGTAACAAAGACAGTTTCACGGTGAGTCAGGTTGCTATCGCGTGATTTTCTTCTACTTTTAGCTTTTCGCACAATAATGCATATTTTTTTTTTATGTAACAGGCATCAAACAACGAAGGTGAGAATGAGTTTATTACGAACATACTGCACTGTAACTGGACTGAAATAAACTTAAATAAATAACAAAGAATAAACCGAATTCAACTAACTTCCAGCTGATGCAATATTCCTAGCATTATGTAACAAGAGAGCAAGCAACAAGATTGCATGAACATGACATATTTTTCTTATATTAATTTTTTAATAAAAGTTACCAACTTTTAAGCATTCGAACAGTTCCTTAGAGCTCTAAGTAAATGCAACAACGTGTTAGACCAATAGCCTGAAAAAAGAGTGTGCAACCTGTGGGCCAAATGCGGCCCACAGAAATAAAAAATTGCGGCAATTTTGAGTTATGTCTAGCGAGCGAAGCGGGTTTTTAACTTTATTTATTCTGATGCGAGTAATTCCAAGCCCTTTGCGTTGCAAATCCGATATCTGAGCTCGTACGAAGCAAACAACGTATATCACAAGATAAATAACCAAAATTTTTGTGCCTGACTAGGAAGCCTATGATAAATAAAAGTGCGTCTCGCGGTTTCACCAAGTTATTTGTATCTGGCCCTTCTGTATGGAAGGTTGCGCACCCGTTAGCCTAGCCATTCCGTCATAATTCAATGATTTTCATTACAGAACTACGAGCAAAACTGGCGCAAAAGTTGGAATCGGTATTGTTGGGAAATAAAGATGATTTTGTTACCATTTCGTCCCATTTTCGATACAACAATGAATTGCACTCGACCGACCTTACTAAATTAGACGTCACAACTGATGACGTCACAGATTTGTTGCCAACATCACATCCATCGACAGCAGCAACAAGCGACGAATCTACTTCCTCTTCATCCAATACTAATAACGTTGCCGAATACACCTTTGCAACTGATGATGACGTCACTGGTTCGTTAGCAACCGATAACATCATGAAAACTAGTGAAGCATCAAAATACTTTAAGACCACATCCGCATCGCACTTAACATTTGAGTCGACAACACCAAAGAAATTCCAAACTACAGGTACGTATGTATCATATCTGAAGAAAGCTACATACAAATAAGCAGTGATCGATTTTTCAGTCAACTTTTTGTAAAAACCGGAATATTTTTATTAATTGGACATTGCTAACACAAATTGTAACCACGCGTTTCGTTGTGGGTATCGCGACTGAATCCAAATTTTTACTTTTCAACATTTTCTGAAATCATCTGGTTCATTGAGTTTATTACTTGAAAAATCATTTTGTTCTTCAGGTATGATAACTTCTATCGTTACCGAGCACACTACTCCGGAAGTCGACAAGATATCCAGTACAGATATCGAAAGATTCACGACACATACTACCGGGATTTCTCTATTACCAGGTAAAATAAATATAAACGTTATTAATCCTATTGGACACCTAGTGGACCTATGGATCGTTTCAATATTATGTTTTTGTTGTTCTTGTTGTTCTTTGACACGTTTTTGGACACCTAGTGGAAAACCTAAAAAGTCGCTTTTCTCTTTGATTACTGGACCAATTGCTCTGAAATTTTCACTGGTTAAAGATGGAATTTTTCTCCAGAAGGCTATTACTTTTATTTATTTCAAATAATTCTGTTAGCTCTGTGAGATTTGTTTTTGTTTGCTATGACGTCACCGAACATTCTGCGAACGTTTATGCTGGCACTCTTCTTCATGTTCTTTTGACCACGTGCCATCGAACGTCGGTGGTTCGTAACGAAATCCTGGCTTTGCTACGATTTGAGGAATGGTGAATTGCAAATAGTGCCGTACTTGGTGTTATATTACAGTAGGGACTCGGATCGTTGGTGTTACTACAGTTGTGAGTCGGACCATCTTGCAATTTCAATTTACGCTGTCATAAGACAGGAACTTCTAAAGATAGGGCAATTCCAGTACCGTAACACAGCGCGGTGACACTGAACTAACTCGTAACTGTTTCGTAAAAACGGGGCTTGAGTTCACTGTTATAACTGATGACTTTAAATGTTGGTGCTTTTCTTGGAATCGGTAAACGTGTCTATATATTTGAGCATAGCTCTCTTGTTTATCTAGGGGTGGGGTGTGCAATATGCGGCCCGCGGAGTAGTGCCAATTTTAAATGGTGTGCGGCCCGCAAAAAAAGTTTAAATTTAGTTTAATTTAATACGTGCGAAGCAAATTTGTGCCTGCAATTACTAGAAAGACTATGTTAAATAAAGGTGTGGACCGCGGTTTCGCTCTGTTTTTTGTATCTGGCCCTTTTGTAATAAAGGCTGCTTCTGATAGGGAATTATATAATGCGATATATATCTCATACATTCAATTTTGTTTTGCAGAAAATTGCGATGTAATCTTTGATCAAAAATGCTTTCGAGTGATCGTGTATCCAACACAAAACATTACATTACCTATTGCTAAGAGTATCTGCAGTAACATGGGCCGGAATCTTGCAAATGTTTACAACGAAGACCATTACCGGATGCTAATGAGTTACATGAGGGCAAAGATTTATCCGGAAATATCCTACTTTAGCGTTTGGACTGGAATGACTTTCGAGGTTGGAAAACATATTTTTGATATTTTTAAAAGGTAATATGAATAATACGTATTATAAATGATTTTTCTGCAATTTGTGAAGATTAATAGCTAAAGTACATGGCCCGCCAGTCTAGGTGGGTAAAACTTACGGCCCCTGGTCAAGAAACTTTTCCCACACATCTAGTCTTTTAACTTGTTTCCATTTACACCAGAACGATCGTATTCATCTGACATCTGGTGAACCGAGCACTCTCCCAACAAGCGTATGGTACCCAAACCTTCCAGTAAATTTTAAAGGAATAAACTACATTGGGATTGATGTGAATCGAAATCCGAATGCTCTAAATCAAGGATTGTTTAATGCATTACCGAACAACGAATACCACGGAGCTCTGTGTGAATTAAAAATAGAATAGAAAGAGTTAACCTGTTGACGCAATAAAAACTGACTATTTGATAAGCTGCAAAATACTTTTGTCCTGCTAAGTTGCCGTCCAAAACATTTTACATTTGTTCGAGAATTCGCAACATGAATGAATGTTGAACCACAACTTGTCATTAAAAACTTACTATTTGATAGACTTTGAAATTCTTTCGTCCTGCTATGTCGTCCAAAATTTCAATTAATCTATAATTTTGTTCCATCCAATTTCTCTTATTTTATTTCTATTACGAGTTCAGGGACTAGCTAAGTGACTCCCGTAGTATTTCTAGCTGAAATTATGGGCTAACCCTAACCTGATACACACACATACTGCATTCCTGTGTTCGTCATCTTGGTTCACATACTTTGGGAGTACCTATTTATAAATATAAATCATAACTTGTTATTAAGACTAACTAATTAATAGTCTGCAAAATACTTTTCACTGCTTGGTCGTCCAAAAACATTTCACAATTGCTCGAGAATTCGCAACATGAATGAATATTCAAAATATTAACCACAACTAGTTTTTATAAATAATTCAGCGCTCCGTAAGTGTGTGTACTAATATGGAGGTAAATAATTTTGTTCGCATATTTTACAGCAAGTTTTGTAATATGGACTGAAAACTATTTGCAGGGGGTAAATTAACTTGGCTAACACAGATAGCCTCCGAACTCGTTATAGAACTAAAATAATGAATATCGGAATAAAATTATGACCCAATCCTAACCTTGAACACATACTACGGGAGTGCCGATAATTCAATATTTATATTGGCTTAGTGAATATCAAATTTGCACAAATTTTCTTGAATTGAAATATTGACGCATTTGGCTATGCTATATTCAAATATTATCTTCCGCGCAGAGTTTCCTAAATTGTGTATATATTTTATTGCATTTAATCGCGTACTTATTTGCATTGTTTCATTTTCTATTTTGCATGTACCGAAAATAAAATAAGTTTCAAACCTCCATCGTTGGGCGTCCTTGATTTCTGAAAGCATTGAAAATGTTAAGTAGGGTTAGAAGTTACGCAATGGATGTGGACGGTTACGTGAATTCAGGTTTCTAGACCGGGAGGGGCAAAAAATTCGCCCGTCTAGGCTGGCAGGTCATGTAAGTGTGACGTAAAAAATTCCTTGAGCAAATTTTCAGCTATAAAAACCAAAATTTAGCGCTAGTTTGGTGTTGGCAGCATCATGCGGGCCAGATTGAATCACTCAACGGGTTGGATTTGACCTGTGGGCCTTAGTTTGTCAGGATTGTAGACGGTCACGCGCGGTCATCATATATTGCCATCTGTTGAACAATTAATCACAGAAGAATTAAATGCAAAAAACAGGCGAATTCTGTTAAGTGGCGAGGAGATAACCGTGTAGTTATTGGACACAAAATGGTCCTGTGGATTGTTTTGTTATTTTGTTGTTGTTGATCATCATGTTAGTATTTCTTTTCTTCCTATGTAAAAATCGCTTTTCACATTGACTACTGACCAATTGCTTTTGAAATTTTCAGTGAGTAGAGATTGTATTTTTTGATAGAAGACTATTCCTTTTATTTATTTTAAATATTTCTGTGAACTCTTTGTAATTATTTTCTCGTGTGCTATGACGTCATTGAAATTTGCGCACCTTGTGGCGGTTCCGCGAACGCATATCAGAGGAAGCTAGATATATCACTGTCCTGAATTCACTACTGAGTGGTAATTTTCATTCTAATTACTAAAGAAAAAGCATCCATTTTTACCGTTACGGCGGTACCCTGATACAGTTGATGATAAAATATTTTCTTTTTCTTTCCGTGTATATATATTTGAGCATAGCTTGCTCCCTTGTTCTGTTTTGTGTTTCATTTTATTTATTGCTTTACATTGATTTATAACTATCGGAATCTGAATAAATTAATTCAAAATTTGTGTTAGTTTGTGGCAAATCAAGTGCGAACGAACGGTAGATTAGCCGACATTGACTATCAGTTGGAGAATTTCGAAATTAGCAATTTCCAGTCTTTTTAATTAATTTTACCTGAAATAACAAATTTATTCCTAAACCACAATGTTACGCCGTAATATAATTCCAAGCAAAAATGTCTCTTGAAAATCTTGAAATAAATTTGCTCCAAAAGAATCTCGTCTACAAGCTTGGAATTTCGGCCGGATTATTAGACACATTGACTCCGACCACGATTACCCATAATGAAATCGTGACACGTGTGTCGTCTGTCTTGAGTTGACCTTGTTGATGCCCCCCTCGGATTTTTCCTATTTATCTTGAGGAAAAGATAAATTGCGATTTACTAGTATGACCGAAAAGGTGTTTTTCCAGATCGAGTACGTTTTAGGTTGGCTTGCTTTCTTAATTTTATCATTTATCGCCCCGAGCAAGGATTATTCGCAAGCATGTACGTGGCTATTGTATATTGAAAGGCTCAGAGCCATTCTGTATATCCGAATTAGTTTAAAAAATTTGTAAAAAGTTAACAAAAAGTTACGGATCTTTATAAATGGACACGTTGTGGATAAGTCTTAATCAGGCGAGTGTGTCGAGTGGGAAAAAAGTAGCAACGTATTTTAAAAATATCATTTCAAATAATAAAAATAAAGTTATCTTCTGTTTAAGGCATTCATTTTTCTCTGTTAGTCCTAAATGAAAAATTGATAGTTTTCCAGAATATTGATATCGTATCCAAGTTAAATTTTTGTTTAATAGCTTTTCTTTTTCAAAATTTATTCCTAATTCAGAAATTGCTAGTCTTCCAAAGTATTGATATTAGGCACAGTAATCATGTATTTTACTTGGATGCACATGATACTATGCGTTGGAATATCACATGCACAGCGAATCCCCGAACAAAGTTCGCAGGTGAGCGGCGTGGCAAATATTATAGGAAATCACATTTATTTTTTTTATTCCCCTCGCCATCATTTGGAAAATATTTAGGCTTCAATTTCTGTGGTTAAGATACCAAACTAGAAACCACGGTAATGCACTGTTCAAATAATGTACGAGTTTATAAATGATTTAAAATAACGGTTGCAGTTGTCGATTAATTAAGTACGGAGGTTTTTCAGTACGCTTGTCGTCGTAGGATGTGTCACATAACCGCGTTATTGCGCTTCATACGTCAACCATATTCCATCCTTTTGAAAAAATAACAACTCATATAAAAAAATATAACAGATGCCTTTACTATTTGATTTATTCTTGCTGCACATTAACTAACGCAAATATATTTCTGTAACGGGACACCGACAACAACGTTCATGAAGTTCATGTTGGGGGCTACAACATTGTATTGCAACATTGTATTGTAAGTGTTTTTTATGCCGTTGGATGACTACGGGTCAAGCATAATTACATTGAGGTGAGGTAGAGGTCGAATATAAAGTATTGTGCGTGTAATAATATATACGGTTGAGATGATATCTAAATCGAGTTTAATCCCACTCGTAAATTCATTCCTAGTGGTCCCAATGTTCCAAATTTGTTAATGAAATGAGATTATTTGGTTTGCCGGTATGCTTGATCTCAAAACAGTTTTTCTATTCTAATTACCGAAAAGTCGTTCATTGTAGAATGGCCTTGTTGACTGCAGTAAGCGCCAACCACGAGATCTTTGTTCTTCTGATTGATGTTTGAACACACACGTGTGCTGTAGAAAATTTTCATTAAAATTGTCACGAATTTTCAGGCATACGGTCATTTAAATTTGCGTACTTAGGCCATTCAGTGAATTACTTAACTGGCGATTTGGGGGAAATCACGCCACACAGCATCTCGAGTGATGCATAAAGAGTGCCTAGCGCTGAACTTAAAATGAATAAATGACGGCAGATCAGTAAAAGTCAATCACAAAAATTCATTTACATCTTTGTCCTGTAATTTGGTGTTATTTGTCGTATAAACGCCCTCGGCAGATTTAACGCCGCTGATAACAACAATTAACAAACGTTCAATGTTTTTTTATTCTCAATTTTTTTCCGTAAATCTGATTCGAATCGAAAAAAGATGAGATTCGATTTGTAAATCCAAAAGTGGAATCAATATTTGAGATCAAATGAATCTTTAAACTTATGGAATCGAATTCCCGGGCGAAATGAAGGGTTTTAAGACAAAAACGTGAATCTCGAAAACTTGGAAAAGTTTTATTTCAAAATAAAGAAACGGAATAAGTTCTTTCTAAGCTGGTATATTCTGTAATTATCCAAGATGTCGTCATTAAGTTCTGAAATCTCATGTTGATACTCGATTCTTTTCTCGATTCTTTCTCGAAGTCGGAACTTTTTGGACCGTATGAGTACCGTAAAATGTACAAAGAAGTGAGTAAGGCCGTGATACGAGGCCTTGAAAAACGCTTAGAAAGGGAGTTTCGTTTAGGAATTAAATAAATTCTTTAGTTTTGTGTGAAAATGAGCATACTGAACGAATTACAGTTAGTTCCCACTAACAGAAGTTGCACATTTTCTGTAAAACATGCCTCAAAAATACTAATGCAAAAATTGGATATCAGGGAATTCCCCGAAAATCAATAATCATAAGTTTACAACGACCCAGCATGAAAAGTTGCTTTTATTCTATAGAGGCCTTTAAACGCATCAATTTCCATTCGATGAAGTCATAAAGTCACAAATTAACGCCGTAAGCACAAAAACACAAGTAAATCGATTAATATCCCGATGCAAGATTGTGGATTCCCCGGAAAATCAATAACCATAGGTTTACAACAACACAGCATAAGAACTATGCAATTCAAGAGCCCTGCTGCACTCCAGCACAAATGTATTTCTGTAACGTTTCTGACCAAAATCAGACTTCCTCAGACAAGCAGTTTACAACAAAAAACAGCATAAGAAGTTGCATTTATTTTAAAGTTGCATTTATTTTAAAGAAGCTATCAAACGCTTTTATTTTTATGCAATAAAGTCACAAATTAACATAGTGAGCAAAAAATCACAAATTAATCGGTTATTTTTCAGTGAGAAGTTTACCGAAAACGTCAAGAAAATGAAATGAATACAGTGTGTTCATTCATAACATAGTGAACAGAAATATTGCCATTAGTCTTTTTTCAGTTTATGTGGTTGTGTATTTGCAACAAAGGCAACAATATTTATCAAAACAGGACTTTAACAGGATAAGCAACAAACTACAATTCAAAATATACTTTCTTACCTCTAACTAAATATTGACCTCTTGAAAATTAATTGAAATTACTTGTAGCGGTTCTTCGACCTCTCTCGTGCTACCATTTCGCTACGCGTAAGTCGGAGGTTTTTTGACCGTACCAGTACTGTAAATGTACGGTAGACAACAGCTTCGCTTTGGTCTTCGTAACCATATATTTGAGCATCGCTCTCTGTTCTGGTAGTCATATTTTAATAAATCCTACTAATATCGGAGTCGGAAAATACAACAGTTGACTCTACCAGGAAACGTGCATCGTATTACAAGCTCTATGTTTAAATTGTAATGATTGATAGATATTAGTGGTTACATGGTCTTATCAGGATTGGCAACAACTCATTCAATCACAAATAGGGGGAGAAGCCTCGTTATTCATTCTAATGTGTAACAACATATATCTCTTTGAATTCATTCAAATACAAAATACCGTGTGCTCTTTTCAATGATGTAAAAACTGTGTTTGATGATTCAACCATCAATAATATAACATTTCACTCTTACCTGACCGTTAATTTATTCATTCTCATGTATACCAATATTTTATTTATCTCCCGAATTATCTTTAAAATTACGCATGAAGCGCCATCATTACAAAAAACTTGTTCCCGGCACCAGTAAAGTTTGACACGCCCCTGCAAACCACACCCAAATGATTACCACTAATGTTGGAACGATTGTAATTGTTGTATTACGCTCCACATATTTACATTTTATTGATGTTATACATTTTTTTACGATCAGGAAATGTATCGGTGTTGCACTAACCGAGATCAGTATTTCGTCAGAAGCGGTCCCAGGGGGCCTCCTGGTCGAGTCAATTACAAAATCGTAAATGAAACTATAAAAGAGCATTTCAGTGGTATGTGATTACGAATTGAGCATATGAATTGCATTTATTTTGTTGAAATTGCTATTGGGATTCATAGGGTCGTTTGTAACAATGTTTACTATTATTTTTTGTATGTTCTCTGAGATTCCTTTTCAAATGAGTTTTTCCAGATGTACATTTTCGTGGCGCATAAAACACTTCACCAGTCCAATTAAACAGAGTATTATTGATAAAAAGCCTGGATTTGTATATACCTCCATTCAACCTCTTAGTCTTTGTAGTAACCAAAAAAATTCAAACTCGGAAAATACTCAATTTGAAACATTGTAATTTGAAATTCATTTTGAAAATATTCTTAAAGTTACAATAATTTACGCAATTAAAAAAATATTAGCACGCTTGGTTTGGATTTTTCTTTTATTATCAACGTCCTACATATGCAGACAATTTCGTGAATATTGTATTATTATAAAACAATGTTATTTCAAGTCGGATAAATTATTGTCCAGATATTTCCGGACAGATACAAGCAAAGCTGACTCAAATTGGTCCGATTGTTGAGAAATCTAGCGAGGACATAGAGGATTTGAAAGCAGGTAAACGTTTCAAAACAATTCCTTCATAAACAATTCATTTAAGTAAACATGAGAGCGAAGTAGTACGTATAAGCAACCTGTAACAGTAGACTACCGGTACATCAGTGTCACGACTAACGTGATCGCGGGACCGATAAATGTGCGCAATTTCCGATGACGTCATAGCACACAAACGAGACCCATAGAGTCGATAGAAATTTTTAAAATAAATAAAAGTAATAGCCTTCTGAAAATACAATCCTTAACCAGCGAAAACTCGAAAGCATTAGGTAATGATTAAATCGATAAAATAAACAACGATTCATATGTACACTTCATGTCCAATACGACAATTAAGTGATGTTTAGTTAAACTTGAACGTACGAGATTGGAACCTTGGTGGAAGCTATCATTCACGCTGAAGGCCAAGGTAGAAGTGATGGTTTGCACTAAAGGATTTCTCGTAAGTCTAAATCAAATTATATTAGTCGTGCATATAGTTTTCTAAATTGTAAATTTTATTATCATTTTTCCTTTTTTTATTAAAGCATCTGGACACACTCGAACAAAACTGAATGAAATAGACACCGATATTGAAGGATTGAAATCAGGTAAATCAAGAATAATTTTCAGTGAATACAAATAAAAACAACTAATAACGAAACTAAAATACTTATTCCTTTCTGATTATTTTTGTTTTGCAATTGAATAGATCATTATATTATGATTTTATTATCTCGAAAAGGGGAAGCCTATAAGATTTATATATATATATATATATATATATATATATATATATATATGTACAATATATATATATAGGATATGCGAGGATGATTCCCCGAATACTTAGTACTTGCCAGGACTGAGCTTCAAGTAAAATATCAAGTAAATTTTTGCTCTGTTCCGTGTATTGAACTGGAAGTTCGTCTTGTTTACTTTTAAAAATAGCAATAACGTATTCTTTATCCAGGGAATTGGGAGCATGTTTGTTTTATATGTTTTTGAAATACTATCAAACGCTTTCGTAATTCCAAGCCTGGATTCTATATAACTTCTTTCAATACCCTAGTCTTCGTATTTACCAAGAAATTAAAACTCGGAAAATATTCAATTCGAGACATTGTTACATTCGTTTTGAAAATATTCTTATGGTTACATTAATTTACGCAATTAAAAAAATATCGTCACGCTTGTTTTGAATTTTTCTAATTTTATCAACGTCCCATAGGTGAAGATTTTTTTGTGAATATTGTAATATTTCTAAATAATGTTATTTCAAGTCGGATAAATTTTTGTTCAGATATTTCGGGACAGATACAAGCAAAACTGACTCAAATTGCTCCCGTTGTTGAGAAATCTAGCAAGGACATAGAAGATTTGAAAGCCGGTAAATAATTAACACTTCATTTGAGTAAATATAGGTGCCATGGTCAAATATCTGGACACAAAGCTCAAACAAAATAGTAGGTACATCCGTGTTGACGACTAACGCGATCGCGGAACCGACAAAGGTGCGCAATTTTCGATGACGTCATACCACACAAACGAAACCCATGGAGTCAACAGAATTTTTGAAATGAATAATAGTAATAGCCCTCTAGCTAGCGTGAAATACGATTCTCAACGAGTGAAAACCTGAAACTAATTGGCCAGATGAGAAATCGTTTTTTTTACAACAATAAAATTAAAATAATAAAAAAACGATCCTATTTACATTTCGTGTTGGAATGGTGGAAGAAGCGATGATTCGCGCTAAAGGCTTTTCGTAAAAGACTATATCAAATTATAATGGTCGAGCATATAGTTTTGTAGCTTTTTAAATACTTAGAATTTGGACACACTAAAACAAAACTTACTGAAATCAAAACATCTGTTGAACAATTGAAATCAAGTAAATTTTGACAAGCAAAAACGAATGAAAATAACGAATATCAAAAATAAAATATTTTGAGCGATTTATGGTTATTTTCATATTTTCGTATCGTAAGGTAATGAGAAAACTATTATGATTTAATAAATACCACTTAATAAAAAAAAAAAAAATAGAATTCGGTTTGAAACCGAAGACCTATCGATCGGAGGTTAGGGGATCCCCAAAACAGTGGTCTTACTCCCTAGTGACACCGTGTGTCCCATCACTAATTAATTAATAACTCGCTAATTATACGACATAATCCATCCAATCGATAGGCTTCTGTTCTGAACTATGATGAATACACATGCAAAATTTGGAGCAGATTGAACCTCTCTTTCGTGAGATATCGCGTGTATCTAACAGACAAACAAACAAACAAACAGACAAATACTTATTAACATACTTACCGATCATAAGATCGATAAGTAATGAGATTTTTTCATTCATATTAAGTTACCAAAGTTAATGCTCTCTTGAATAACAAAGACATGATATCCAGTTTCAATTCACTTCACAGTAATGCAACAAATCCGAGAGCAGCTGAAGAACTTTATATTGACCTCACGTGGCATCGAAGCCCCCAGCACATGGTATCAAGCGCAAAACAACTATTACTACAAACTATTTGACAACAATGCCACTTACGCGGAGGCGAAGGCAAATTGCAAGATACTTGGAGGCCAACTGGCATCGGCGGGAATTCGAGATGAAAATGTTCGAAGGTAATTTAGGTTGTTGGAGTCAATAAGGGAGTGGGACATAACCGAAATCCGATATATAGATTTCATATAAACGATTCAAACTCGTTCTTTCAGATTCCTAAACATTCCTAAAGTTGCACAATCGAATTGAATACAAATAACAGATAACGAATTACACTTAAACCCTTACCGCAAGTATTGTGATGGAAACAAATTTCTAACTAATAAAGAACGATAAAGACGAGCAATACTTGGGTGAAGGAAAGATATCATATGGAAAATAAATTGAATCAACGACCTTGTTTCAGACAAATAACATGCACTATTAACAATACGTGGTGTATACGGTAACTATTGTTATGTACTTGCTACAGTTGACCAATGGAATGATAGGTGTTCAAATATTAGGCAAAAAGTAATTCGGTTTTGGCCCTTCCTAGTCCCAACTCCAAAGCGTACCAAGCCAATCTTCGATTTCCAATGTCATGAATGGTGTGATTGCAAAAGACATTATTTTTCTTTAGAGAAATCGTACCCTTGCTCAAATCTGGAGGAAACGACACTTGGATTGGTTTGAATGACATTCAAGAGGAAAACACGTTTATCTGGGAAGATGGTGTAACGGCGACTGCAGGTTCTACTCCATGGTATGATGATCAACCTAACAGCTATGACGGTGATCAAGATTGCGTTGAGATAAGGCCCAAGTGGAACTGGACGCTGAATGATGAAGGTTGTACCGACAAACGAAAATATTTATGCGAAATTGAACCATAATTTCACATTTACGAAAAGTCAAAGACCGATAATGCATGAATCATGATCAACATTAAACGATAACTAACCAAGCCCGGTGTATATCAACCTTATTTTTTATAACCTATATTAGCGAACTTCCCCAGGGGAGGAATTGAAAATCCTATCCTAGAAATCAAAAATAAATCTTAATATATAAAGTGTGTCCATACTCCCTGTTCGACTAAAATGTTCAGTATTTCTAAACACCATAATACGAAACGAGGTTTATTGTATCGTATATTAAAAAATATATATAATGCTTTCAACTCAAAGTTTCCAATAGTATTTTAAAACTCTCCGGAGTTTATCATGATAGAAACTGAATTACGATTTTGCACTTTTAAAAGTGAAGATTCGGACACAACGCGTAGAGTTAAACAAAGGTCTTACCAGGAACTAAGAATCTTTTTTTTTTTAATTTGTTAACCTTTGAAAGAGTAAGAACAAAGCCATCTTCCCGCAACACCGAAATGAATTTCCATAATGTCTATATCAATTCAAAGTTGTTTACAAAAATAGTTCAATAATATGGTTTTCGTTTTTGCAGATTGTATTTGGCCATTACTATATTTTATGCAACGCATATTCGCGCCTTTTGTCCTCCGAACATAGCCTTATACAAGCGGCCATTGTACCTATGAACCAATACCCCATTGCTTACCCAATTTATTACTCCTGTACGTGGGGGTTTTGGGTGGGGGGCTGATATGGTATTTAAACTTGAGATCTGCGATACCAACATATTTATAACCAACACTTTTATCCTGGCAGGAGAAAACTACGACCTGCTGGCCAAATCCTTCCCATTGGGTTATTCAATCTAGCCCGCCTGATGCTGCCACAACCAAAATAAAACCAAATGTTGATGCTTAGCTAAAAAATACCTTAAAGAATTTAATAAGCTTGCGATTAATTTGATTTTGGCGCGAGGCCTATTGTTTTTCACTTATTGTTTTTCAATCTTACATCACACTCACATGACCCGCTCGCCCCTGCTTTAACTAGGCTAGGGCCTCGCGCTAGTTGTATTAAGAGACTATATCGTGAACAAGATATCATTAAATGTTGTGACCCAATAGGAAAATAAGTTCTAATATGTATTTGGGATGCCGCCATCCCTTTATTAAACCAGTGTCCGTGTACAGTATAATATATCATATTAGTTTGAAACCCAATAGGAAAATCTAATCGTTCTAATATGCATTTTTGATGCCGCTATATTAAACCATTGTCCGTTATATTGTTTTTCATTGAATCATTTTCTTTTACCATGATGGTATATATCTGAAATAAATCTAATTACTATCCAGTTTGCTTTATGTTGATTCTATCAAAGGCCAGACATAATAACCTTTCATCTATTGCTACACTAAGGACAAAAACACTGATGCACCAGAATAAGATGGTTATATTGATCGCGGAGGGAGAAAAGCCGATAAAAACACTAAGGGTCGGGGTTCGTAGAATATTTGGTACTCTTGTAGTATGTGTACCAAGATAGGGCGAGGCCATTATTTTATTCCGTTTTTTCTTATTTTAGTTCTGTTACGACTTCGGGGACTGCTTGTGTTAGCCAAGTCAATATACCTCCTGCCCATAGGTTTCCGTCCTTTACACTTTTAAACAACTTGATGTAAAATATGCGAACAAAATTAGGATTTCCGCTGATAGGTGAGTCCCGCACAAAAGCAAACTGTTATACATGCAAAATTGCTAATAAACCCAAATGAGAAATTTAATCAAGATCGGTCCGGTCGCTTAGACGCTACATTTAGACCAGGGGTCTCAAACTCAATTTACCTGGGGGCCGCCGAGACGGAGCCTTAGTGAGTCCGGGCCGCATCCGGTTTTTTACAATAAAAGCATTAATTAAACTTAAAATGTAAATCTTTTCGCCTGTTTTTCTATACGCAAAACATGTCAAAAACATAAATGTAAGTAATTCCACGATGCACCTTTCCCCGAGCATCTACTTCCTTGTGTATTCCGTAACATGGGCAAATCGACAAGATGCAAAAAATCGCGTAACAATAGACTTTTTCGCAAACGCTCAGACACTTGTCACTCAGAAAGATTTTCAGGCATGTTTGTAAACATTACCTCGTTTATGCATGCTATTTGTTAGTTTTGGGTTGTGTTTCAGAAATTCAAGTATGAATCAAAGAATATAAAATAAAGTAGAATATAAAATATTTTGTTTTGCTCTACTTGTCCTGGTCATATATAAAATGCATCAATCATTCTAACTGAGCTGAGTGACTTACAGGCCGCACTAACATTAAACTTTCATACCAAGGCGGGGGCCGCAAACTATCGTCCTGCGGGCCGCAATTGGCCCGCGAGTTTGAGACGCCTGATCTAGACATACAGACAGATACACAGACCGACTAGGAATAAGTGTTTTCTAGAGTGGCGATCTAATAGCAAATCCTCATACATAGTTAGATAGCAAACAAAAAGCTTGTGCAATCGTCGTATTAAAAGAGCACCGATTAATATACCGTCTTTAACAGGGGTGTGCAGGAGGCGGCTCGCGGGTGACAACCTGGCCCGCCAATCTATTTAGTTTGGCCCTTGTCCACATTCAGATTTTTTCCCATCAAGCATGAAATCTTTATCCGACATTTTCTTTTTAAATACGAGCTCACAAGGAAATTCTTCTTGTGTGAACTAGACTTTGATCTGAATATCGTAAGGTAATAAATTAAAGATAAAAGAACAAGCGGTTTCGGACAATAATGGTTAGTGTCAAACTCTGATTTAGATTCATTTCGTCATGCAAGAATCAATACAAAGCAAGAGAAAAACAGTAAACTAAAAACGGGAATCATTGGTTCACAGAAATTGACGCGGGGTCGCAAATGACTCAACGAGTCATCCAGTCATCGACACCTTGTTGCTGTATTACAGCAGCAAATATAGCAATGGAGCAATATGATAAAAAATTATCTTTAAAATACACAATTCATGGTAAAACAGTAATAGATTCGAAATAAACTAGACTAGAAGAACAGCCATTATAATTCATTCAGATTAGATAGCTCATTGGCGAGATCCGGTGATTAAGATACGCAATAATGAATTCCAACATATCAGTAATCAGTAGTTTTTTCACCATACATGAAATATACTAAATGAATACAGAATGTGAAAAGAAGCAAAAACGGTAATTCGGAGTGAAAGGAGTCGCAAGAAACAATACTGGTTATCTTGCGTTGACACCGTGACTAAGTCTAACAGTAATTAATTGAACGGAAAAGTCAAACAATGATTTAAAGAATATAAGGAGAAATATAAATCGAGACGGCCTGAATCCAGGAGACGCCCGATACACAGAAAGAAGCCCGATACAGACCAAAAGAGTCGAATGGTCGAGCACTAAAAAAACTGTAGGGTCTCAAACAACGGGGTTGGTATTTGATAGCTATTTTTCTGGAAAGAAGACGACGTCAACCCGGGTAAACTCTTAATTACTTGACTTCTAATTCACACAAAGCTCCGTGGTATTCCTTTTTCGGTGATTCATCAAACATTCCTTGAGTAAGTGCGTTCGGATTCCGATTTACATCAATTACTATGTGTTTCTTCGTGTTGGGATGGTTAGGGTACCACACGATTGTTGGGAGAGTGATCGGAACACCGGATCTCAGATGAATGCGACCGTTCTGTATAAAAATGCAAGTTAAAGAAACAGTCTGTAGCGTTCCCTCCAATACAAGGTTACAATAAACACCGTTTGTTTCTAAGCATGAATATTGCAAGGCTGAGCATAGTCTTAAATGATTTACAACTGACGCGGGGCAACTCCAATGACCTCTAAATGTCGTATCGTTTCCTCCCAGTAATATGCCGACAACATCCGTTTATTCGATATTTATTTATGTAAGTATTGTTTTCTTGCTTTGTGAGAAAATGAACTATACTCTCTCTACAAACTTTGTGAATTATTACAACAATATCAAAAATTTCCAACCTCGAAAGTCATTCCAGTCCAAACCCTGAAGTAGAATTTGTCCGAATAAATCTTTGTGCGCATGTAACTCATTAGCATCCAGTAATGGGTTTCGTTGTAAACATTTGCAAGATTCCAGCCCATGTTGCTACAGATACTTTCAGCAATAGGTAATGTAACTCTTTGTATTAGTTGCACGATGACTCGAAAGCATTTCTGATCGTAGATCACATCGCAATTTTCTACAAAACAAAATTGAATGAATATTTACTTTGTAAGAGATATAAATTGCATTATTTAGTTCTCTAGTCAGGGGTGTGCCTTCATTATACAGAAGGGCCAGATACAATTAACTGAGCTAGCTGTTAGGGCATTGTAACGCCACAAGCGTAGATAACAAATTGACCCAGGGGTGAACTTCGCAACGCAACAGGATTATACCTACCCGCACGTATTAGGTTAAACTAAATCAAAACTCGTTTTGCGGGCCGCACCCTCCTCTAGATAAATAAGATTTTTAACGTTCATATTCGTTTTACCTGGTAATAAAAAATTGCCGGCAGTGTGTGCTGTGAAACTCTCGATATATGTACTGGATATCTTGTCGGCTTCCAGAGTAGTGTGCTCAGTACCGATTGAAGTTATTCGACCTGAAAAACAAAATGAGTTTTTAAATAATAACAGACGATTTCAAAAATTTGGGTTCAGTCGCCTTACCCACCACCAAGTTATTCAAGGTTAAAAATTTGATATGATACCGACGCACCTGTAGTTTGGTACTTCTTTGGTGTTGTCGACTTAAATGTAGATAGTGCTACAGATGTTGCAAATGAGATGTTGGAGTATTTTGATGCTTTATCAGTTTTTGTGATGTAATCGGTATCACTCCCACTATCGGCTGTGTCATTTCCTGTAGCGGTTGCTAACGAACCAGTGACGTCATCGTTAGTTGCCAAGGTGTAATCGTCAAAGTTATCAGTGTTGGATAAAGCAGAAGTAGATGCGTCGCTTGTTGCTGCTGTTGAAAGCTTTGATGTCGTCAACAAATCTAATTTTGTAAGGTCGGTTGAGTGGAATTCATTGTTGTATCGGAAATGGGACGAAATTGTAACCAAATCATCTTGATTTTTCAACAATACCGATTCCAACTTTTGCGCCAGTTTTTCTCGTAGTTCTGTAATGAAATTTATTGAGTTATGACGGAATAGTTAGATGGTTTTTCTAAGAACCGTGCCCCCTGACAACAAGTTAGAATGAGTTGGTCATCATACGTAGAGTCCAATTTTATTAGTGTACTTGATGGTTGGTAATATGAACATTTAAAAAAAAGTTGAATGGCAATAAATTATATCGCGTGCATAAATCTGCGTGTACTCGTTTTTTTACAATGCTAGGAATATTGAATCCGCTCAAAATTAGTAGAATTCGGTTTATTCTTTGTTTTTCATTTAAGTTTAATTCAGTCCAGTTACAGTGCAGTATGTTCGTAATAAACCCACCCTCACCTTCCTGGTTTGTTGCCTGTTACATAAAAAAAAATATGCATTATTGTATGAAAAGCTAAAAATAGAAAAATCAAGCGATAGCAACGTGACTCACCGTGAAACTGTCTTTGTTACCACATGATGAACTGTCTGACGCTCCTCCGAATTGAACGTTCACAGAAATATCAACTGAAACAAAATATTTATTTTATAATTTATTGGTTAGTTTAACAAAAACTTTGATTAGATGGTCCGACAGGGATGATATCGCAATTTATATATTCATGATTTGAACTCATTATGTATGGAAATGCGATATATATATCGGAAATTGGTCGGAAGACAAGAAAATATTTAATTAGGAAGTGATTACTTGCTTGTCTTGAAAATTGAAATAGCTTATTGGTTCCAACATCTGTGATCAATTACTGATAAACAATGGATTTAATTTTCATTTCACAATTTATTAAGGAACCAGCTTGAAAATCTTAACCCACTGGTAGCACATATTATTCTTACAAATAACACATATGCTATTTGTATTCACGACCGCTATTCAATTAATAAGTTCGTGAGTTCGTTAAATATTTCTCAATGATAGGATTTACATATTTATCTCAGGGGAGCCGATAGGACGGCTTAATCATATGGCGAACCACGGCCTCTCGTCCGGTTACGTGAATCATCCTACGACGGCAAGGATTCCAGCAATCCTCTCGCACCTTACTATCCTCGCGTGGAATTCTAAAAGAGTTCGGTTTGTATTTTCAGATTCTGACTTCCCAAATCTCTTGAATGATGTTATTCAAATGAGTACAAAACTTCAATATTACCTGTTACCACACTCTTCAGGGATATAATCAGAATGATTAGAACAGAAAACATTTTTTAATAAATTACACAACGGTGTTACAGAATACCGTTACACTCTCAGAATGGAATCTTTCGATGGTGTACAATGGCTTATAAATACAATGTAATAATGTTTAATTGAAGGACATCTTAGGACAACTTTGAGTCACAAACTAACACGAAAATAGATTTAAGTTCAGTTCCGTGTAAAATGAAATGACGAGAGTTCACGCCCTTGTGTACAAATGATATAGAGTCGAATCTGAGTCTGGTTGTCAATCTCCGTGCAGTTTTCACTAGTTTTATGTATAATGCCTTCTTGACGTTGACTTGGTCGGCCCAATTTGTTACGCCCTACGTTGTGCCTAGTTGGTACAATGGTTTATAAACACAGTATAATAATGTTCAGATGAAAGGGCATCTCAGAACAATGTTGAGTCACAAACAAACACGAAATAGATTTCAGTCACATTCGTACAAAATGAAATAACAAGAGTTCACGCCTCTCGTGTACATTATGAACTGTTGCAAAATCGAATTAGTTAAGATTTTATTACGAAACAGACTTTTGCGCTTAATAGAGGTGATCGTACATAACGGATGCGCTAATTTGTAAAAACCTAATAGAATAGGGGCTCGGTAAATATAACATAGATTAGAAATCGAATTTGATTCTGGTTGCCAATCTCCGTGCAGTTTCCAATAGTTTTATGTAAATTTTTTGAGAAAATCTGGCGTTGAAAAAACGTTAAACTCAGTTGTATTGGCATCGCAGGTTGCACATATATGTTAACCAAGGATAATGTTGTTTTGTTTGCGTTGGAACTCTTAAAATTCACTTTCGGTAATTTAAATGATGAAACACATTGATGACGAAATAATAGTAAGAGAATAACTAAATATGCACTTTCATTAACGAAATATTCAATCACGCGATTGACTCTAGTTTTCTATCGCGTTACACATTGCCAAAACATCTGGGTCCTTGGGCTAAAACGTCTCAAATATAAAATGAAACAAAAGAAACCGCATCCTGCAGGTCGTATTGGTTTACAGATATATCTATCTATCACAATCTTCGCATTAATGGTCCATGAAAGATCTGATGTCATACTATAAAATATTCTTGAACTTGCTGTAATTTTTGGCAGCATTCTCGCGTGCGATCAACAACTTTAATGCTGCGAGTTTTTGTACCCATGGTTGTTTTTGTTCACTTATGTGCACGGAGTGCATGTGCACGGCCTACAGGAGTGTTTCACCCAGCTCACTTGTGTATGCTAAAAGTTCGACTATAGTTTCAGTGAATACAAATTTCCGTTGAAAATACCGATGAATTTACCGTCCCATTGGCCTTATTTGTTACATTGTGCTTCTTCTTCTTGTGTATATAAACGATAGCCCATCTTCTGGGCTAGCTGTTGTAAATGAACTATTTTTTTCGTAGTTTCATATTAGGTTCGGAGCCTTCGGTCCAGTATCCAAGTCGATTATCAGTAACTGGCCCACGCAGAAAAGTAATTGCCCACCCCTGTTCTAGATTCTCGAAGGTTAGTTAAAGATTGATATTATTGGGAACAAGGATTTTTTGCAGGCAATCGTTAAAATGTGACTCATGTATATTTAAAAGCCCAGAGACTAGCGCGTCGGCACGCAGGCATCGTTAGTTAGTTTACGATATTGCTATCTTGACACTGGCCCTTGAGGAACTCGTTGTTTTAAATAGTAGCTGATCTTTTTATTGAAATCTTCTGTTTTACTCGGAAATATCGGATTTGCTAAATTACGGAATTACAATAAAATATTCGTGAACTTGCTCTATTTTTTTTGCAGCATTTTTGCGTGCGAATCAGAAGGTTTAACTTAAACTGGGTTTCAAGCAGGGTTGTTTTGTTTGTTTTTGTTGTGCGCGAAGTGATGTTAGAGAACTGGGGTAACAGAAAAACATTGGGAACCCTTCACGATATAATTATAGAAAATGAAAAAAATAAGATATAGGGGTATAAAAATGAATTTTATCATTGATTGCACAGTGTATATACTAGATCCTAGAAAGGATGTAGTGAGTTGGTTTATTAAAAAGTTTTGTACGATTATTCGCCAATATTCAGGAAGCTATTATATATTGGGAGGTCAAGAGCTTAGCCGATTCGGTATACAGACAACCCGATAGACTGGACAAAAAATTTGTGCCAGACATCTTCATCCTGTCATATCCCCGCTCTATGACCACGGGCTGGGCATTTTCGAAACACTGGTGTTTCGAAATCGAAACGAAATTTCGCCCCCGAAACGAAATCGAAACGAAACGAAACACACGTTTGTCAAAAACAATAAAACCATCATTACCCATCGAATTTAATGTATAATTGCACATATTTTCAAGAATTGAAACCACAAAAACGAAGCACTGGAGGCTAATTCGAGAGCATGAAACGATAATGATAATTCAATGAAGGTTTTTGCTAATGACAAAGCAGTGACCAAATGGCATCAGAATAATTATTACGAATTACGTCATTGTTAGAGATGGGGCTCACAAGCAGCATATATAGCATGGGGCCTCTCAACGTATCAATGCGACCCTGCCCTCATCTTATGTAATAATTGGGATCATTTTCTATATTATCCGATGTCACAGAGCCTTGTGATCCAGTGGGGTAATAATACCAAGGAGAGCCATAATACCAAGCCACAACCGAATACTACGAATACTAATACATTTAAAAAAATATCTTTGAATCTGAATTCCAAATACATTCTTAACTCCATGAACACAGGAAATGGGCTTTCATGATATTATCGTTGATTGAAATTAGCTATAACTAGGCGCCCAGAGAAATGATTTAAATTAAACAGTAAAATTAATATAAATTCGGATTTTTGTCGCGGCTAACTTTTGTTGTGACTGTTTATCGTCAGCGCGACATCGACATCGTTAAGCTAAATTCCGCCACAATTATCCCTCCCCCCACAAATTTTGACTGTTTGTTTTGCTTATAACACGATTATCGTCGTAATCAAATGAGTCGACCCAATTCACAAGTTTCCATCCGCCAATGACGGAGAGTTAAGACTGAAAATCGTGTTTCATTTTTCTTCAAGTCAGTTCTGATTTGAATATTTCACGTCGACTGTTATGCTTTTATTATTGCTTATAAATTAATACCGCAAACTTGCACTGAACTATATTAATATTAACGACGGCAGTGTAACAATAAAATCTGCGATAGATACTAAATGATATTCAAGAGCTAGTTCATGCGGGGCAAATGCAGGACATGCTCGGTCACTATAGAAACTAAGGATGAAAAAGATTAATTACGACAAAATTTGATTTTAGATTTATTGCCGCAGTAACCCAGACTATCTCGATTATGTTGAAATATATTCAATATTCTTATAAACACTAAAAACGATATTTGAGAGTCGCGATATTCGAATAAATTCGGATATGAAATTCGACTTGGACATCGCTGAATGATATTTTGACTGATTTCAGATTGTTATTGCTATGACGTCATAATGTCCGTTTCGGAAGTCGAAACAGCGCCGTTTCGACATATCAGTGTTTCAAAACGTATCGAAACAGTGTTTCGAAACGCCCAGCCCTAATGACCAGTAGAACCCCTGCTTTTGTTACGTTGTAACATTTGTAAAAAAAATTTCAGAAAATTCATGAATGAAAAATTAGAACGACTGCCAATAGCCTAGAAATATCACCTAAGTTTGTGGAGTCAGAATAAAGGTTTAACCGATACTAACCAGTTCCGATAACCGATAATTGCGGAAATAGATTCTCACCGGTTCAACCGCCTCCCGAATTATATGGGGCCACGGATTACAAAAATACTAGCATTCCTTATTTAAATGAATAAATGTTAGGTCATAAAGTTTCTGTTTAAAAGCATTTATTTATGAAAATTTATTCCTAATTCAGAAACTGCTAGTCTTCCAAAGAATTGATATTAGGTATAAGAATCATGTATTTTACTTGGATACTCATGATCCTATGCGTTGGAATATCAAATGGACAGCGAAATATCGAACAAAGTTGGCAGGTGAGCGGTGTAGCAATTATTATAGGAAATCACATTTATTTATTTTTTAACCCTTTACCATCATTTGACCGATATTTACTCAATTTCTGCTCTGATAAACCAGTTTCAAGCCAGATCCAGCGATAATACGCTATTCGAATTATTGCGTGATGAGTGAAAACTTAGATTAGGGTGGTCCAAGCAAGATTGTCGGCGTTTGGGCCGCAATATTAACTTTGTGTTGTTAGCGGGCCACATTAGTTCCAAGACATTTTATCAATAATCAATGATTTTATATCGATAATTATGTTGTTCATTAAAATTGTCATCCAATATTTCGTCTCCCAACCTGTTCATTGTAATGGATTTCAGACTTTTTAAAACCGAGAAAGTGCTTTCATAACTGAAGCGATCCCGAATATCGATAATATTCTGGAAGCGAAATCCCTTTTTAAAGCTCCTCTAGTCTAGGGTATATTATTTTAGCACCGACACAACTTGCAGACATATCAAGCAATGAGGCTTTTTTACTCAAACGAGTACATTTTCTCTCATATCGAGTTAAAATATGTTTGAATTGGTCATTTTTTTTCGAACCCACGTTTACAAAGCGACTTACAAATCACTGCAGATTGATCGAATACTAAATTTCGGCAAATGCGAAGTAGGCTACAGCAGGGTAATATCGCGACATTAATTGATATTTACTAAATCTTCTGACATATAGGCACCAATTTGAGTGTTACTGTTTACGCTGACTGCAAAAAGACAATGCGGCAGGGAGTATAATTCTAAACTGATGATCAGTTTTCTATGTAGGCTGTTGAGATATTCACCAAATGTGACGAGGGCCACAGATAATGATGCAGTGGGCCACACTTGGGAGTTTAGATTTAGACAAACCGTGACATCTATTTGGCAATCGCTGATTACGTACGAAAGTCTATTAGAGTCCTCGCCTTCACAGGCTGTTTTATGTAACCGACTAGTTAACTCGTTTTTAGC